AGTGATAGAGTAAAGAAAGAAATGAATTTTGATTTTTAAATACTTAAAAGGACTGTGGAGGATGAAACTTTTTTATTTTCTTAATTTTAACCCACTTGGCAATAATGTTGGAAGATTGATCAGAACTTAACCATACTCATGGATTCTTTCTGAGTCGATGGTCCTGTTTCTAGGTTGATGGAGAATGTGATGCTTATGTTGTTAGGTATAGATTGAAAAATTTATTTCTCAAGGAAATTGATAAGATTATAAAATAAAATGGCTGGCAGATATTTCATACTATCATAGAATGTCTAAATTTAGATGGTTTGTAGAGTCCTAAAATATCTCATTTTAACTGTTTATCTATGTGTGATCAGACTGTAGATAACTGGTTCCATGTCATCCAAACTTTGGAGGGTCTGATTGTAAATTAGAATATTATTTAGTATGAGAAATAAATTAATAAAATAATATAGCCATTTCAACGTGATATTCCATATCAGTGGGTAGGGCTAGTTAGGACGTCAGGTGACAGAGGTGTCCATCTCCCTAAGGAGAGCAAGGAATGAAGCCTGGATGAATTTTTTTGGCCTCAGAGAATATTTCTGGCAGATACTTGATATTGTTTAATAGAATTAGAGATTTTTACCTGGAGATACCATAATAAATTCTTTTTACCCCTGTTTAAACTTTTTGCAGTAATTTCTTTTAACTGTTCCTTATGACTATGCAAAGGAGAAAATAAGACATTAAAAAAATCTTGGGTAGTCAAAGATTAATCTTTGTTTTTTATTATTTTTATTTAAATTGATATCTTTTTTTACTTTGGGGTTGCCCTTGACACGAGTTGAACAACGATTTTGAAGTTAATTCTCATTCGGTTTTGTAGATGAGATTAGATTCAGGATTAAAGTTAGGATTTAAGATCTTAGAATCATAGCATTTTATTCTACTATTTGTGTTATATTTAGGTCTAATACTACCCTATTTTTTTGACTACTGAACATTGTGAACATAATAATGAAAAAATTCATTATATCTGCTGGTTTACTTATAGAATATTTCTGAATTGTGGAATCCCTAATCTTAGGGCTTGATGATTCAAAATGAGAAGGGACTGTCAAAAGACTATGTATGGAGCTGGCCCGGTCGCCCAGTGGTTAAGTTCACACATTCCATTTCTCGGCGGCCCAGGGTTCACTGGTTCGGATCCTGGGTGCAGACATGGCACTGCTTGGCAAAAGCCATGCTGTGGTAGGCGTCCCATGTATAAAGTAGAGGAAGATGGGCATGGATGTTAGCTCAGGGCCAGCCTTCCTCAGCAAAAAGAGGAGGATTGGCAGCAGATGTTAGCTCAGGGCTAATCTTCCTCAAAAAAAAAAAGACTATAATTTGGGAATTTCTAAGGAGAGTCTAATAAATAGTGCCTCCTTTTCTGCTTTGGTTTTAAAGCAGTTGAGAAGTAAAGGAGTGACACACGTGGGCCAAAATATCAACTTTGATAAAAATTATTGATAAAAATTAATTTGGAGGGCCAGCCCAGTGGCGCAGCGGTTAAGTTCGGCCATTCCGCGTTCGTGGCCCTGGGTTCGCTGGTTCGGATCCCAGGTGTGGACATGGCACCGCATGGTAAGCCATGCTGTGGTAGGCCTCCCACATATAAAGTAGAGGAAGATGGGCGTGGATCCTAGCTCAGGGCCAGTCTTCCTCAGCAAAAAGAGGAGGATTGGCAGCTGTTAACTCAGGGCTAATCTTCCTCAAAAAAAAAAAAAATTTAATTTGGAAAATGTGGTTTATTGGGAGAGCCAACTGGATCCATTAACTGAACCACAAACGAGGCAGACTTGTACACTCACTTTATGGCAGTGCTAATCCAGTGGGGAAATTGAGTAGGTACCTCCTCCCTCAGGGTCCCTACCTGGATCCCAAGAAAAGGAAGGGTAAAGATGAGCCCAATATGTACAGCATATTCTTCCCTATCAGACGAGTCATTCCATAAGTGCATGTGTTAGTTTTCTGAGGCTGCTGTAACAGTACCACAAACGTGGTGGCATAAAACAACAGAAATTTGTACTGTCACAGCTCTGTAGGTCAGAAGTCTAAAATCAAGGAATTAGCAGGGTTGGTTCCTTTTGCAGGCTCTGAAGGAGAATCTGTTTCATGCCTCTCTCCTAGCTTCTGGTAGCTACGAGCAGTCTTTCTTGTTCTTTGGCTTGTAGATGTGTAACTCCAATTTCTGCTTCCATCTTCACACGGCCTTTATACCCTGTCTCTTTGTGTTTCTTTCCTCTTCTCTTCCTTTATAAGGACACTCATCATTGGATTTCAGACCCATCCTAATCCAGGATGATCTCGTCTCTAGATCTTGACCTTAATTACATATGCAAAGTCCTTTTGCCCAAATAAGCTTACATTTATAGCTTCCAGGTGCACATATCTTTTTGTTGTTTTGGTAGCTGGCACTATTTAATCCACTAAAAGGGATGGAGAGTCCAGGAGTTGGCGTAATTAAATAAGTAAACTTGCTACTTGCAGGGAAACATCAGGAGCTGGGGGCAGGTGTTCCTCCCTAGAATTCTGCAGCTTTTTGTTCTCATGGTTGACCAGATGTAGGAGATCAGCGAACTTGGTTCTATTCCTACCCTGTGTTTGTGTCGTTGGCATTATCTTCAATTTGTGTTTCTTTGGCAGAATCTTTTAAAGCCGCTTGTCCATTTGTGAGCATTAATGATTAAAACTAGGAAATATAATCTGTATATCCATTTAACTGCACACAAATAAAAGGCAGTTTGTCATAACAAATTGAAAGCAAAGAAACTAGCGAAGGTGCCGTGTCAAAACCGTTGGGATGCAGAACTCCCCAAATTCTGTAAAGATGCCTTGTGACCTGTATGTCATATGGACTGAGGGCGCCCTTGTTGCTTGGGATATGAAATATTAGGAAAGTTTAATTTCTGTCTAAGAATGAAATAGAAACGCATGTTTGCCTCCCACACTTCAGAGGGTGTGCACTCCCTAGGATGCATGAGTCTCACTTTGGAACACGTAGGTCTAGATCATCACTGATTGTCTAGGAGAACTTTTGGCAGTGATGCAGGCAGTCTTTATCTGTGTTGTTTAGATATATAACACTTGAAATGTGGCTCGCACGACTAAAGAATTGAATTTTTAATTTCATTCTATTTTATTTAAATGTAAATTTAAATAGTCACGTGTGGTACTGGACAACACAGGCTAGATATTTGTCGAAGTCTAAGCTAAAAATATTGGGAGTAGTAAAATAAAGAGAATGATGAACGTTGTAGTAACCGTAGCCTGCCTATGGTTTAATTTAAATGTCTATTGTAATGATATTAACGAAAGCATATGAAAAAGTTCACCTTGAATTGGCAGCTTATCTATACCTATTAAGGGTTTTGGACTTGTTTCAACTTGGAATTTTTTTGTAACTAAAAATTAGATGAAATTTTAATGTCTTTTCTCTGATTATATTCTCTAGGCCTAAATTTATAAAAATTACTCCTTTGCAGGCAAAATACTGGTAAATATAGAGTAGAAGTTTGTCAACTTGGGGACATACTCAAGAAATTAAGTGTAAATGTCAATCATTTCACATTTCTGTTTGCTGAAAATATATACTTAAAAGATTCTTTTTAATAAAAAAATTAGCCTTTTTTTTCTTTGTAGGTACAGTACTACTTAAAGGTATAATATTTTATAATTTGGAAAGTATCACTTTATGTTAAATTTAGTTTTCAGATGTGCAAGCAGATTTTCCTGTCATTTCTCAGTTATGCCATAAGCATTTTAGTACATAAAACTTTTAACTTAATAGCTACTTAGTTCATCAATTTTATTTTTATCTTTTTTTTTTTTTGAGGAAGATTAGCCCTAAGCTAACATCTGCTGCCAATCCTCCTCTTTTTTTTTTTGCTGAGGAAGACTGGCCCTGAGATAACATCCCTGCCCATCTTCCTCTACTTTATATGTGGGACGCCTACCACCGCATGGCTTGCCAAGCAGTGCCATGTCTGCACCCGGGATCCAAACCGGCAAACCCCAGGCTGCTGAAGCGGAACATGCAAAACTTTACTGCTGCACCACTGGGCTGGCCCCTTATTTTTATCTTTGATGGAAATGTGGCCAGAGAGAATGTTTCTTCTCCTTTCTGCCAATACATATAATATAGCACTAGATTTAAACTAATGTAAAAAGGAAATGTGAAAATAAGTATGGCTCACACTTCTTGAATTGTATATAGTTTAAATTTTGGAGTATTGTATTCTTCATTTATGCCAGAAGAGGGTGTACTTTAATGTTTTTGAACAGAAAGAATTCCTTTCAATTGCTGCTGCAAAGTTGATATTCTTTAAAAATTACCCAGTTCTTTAATTTCGTAATGTCCTTTAAGGTAGTTGGGAGAAGAGGGATGTATGTGAACTATTTTGAGCACTTAAGACTAAAAACATCTATTAATATGCCTTTAATCCAGAAATATAACCTTGTTTTCCTAGAATTTTCTTTTCTTGTTACTTTCTGAAAATGAATTCAGTGTTATAAAAAAAAAATGTTCTTCAGGAGGCCTTTTTGAAGTTTCATCTTTTTTTTTTTTTCTCAGGAAGATTAGCCCTGAGCTAACTGCTGCCAATCCTCCTCTTTTTGCTGAGGGAGCCTGGCCCTGAGCGAACATCCGTGCCCATGTTCCTCTACTTTATATGTGGGACGCCTACCACAGCATGGCGTGCCATGTCTGCAACCGGGATCCCAACCAGTGAACCCCAGGCCGCCAGAAGTGGAACATGCGCACTTAACTGCTGTGCCACTCGGCCGGCCCCTGAAGTTACATCTTTAAATACACACCAAAAAAACCCATGATGTGTGTAATATAATTTCAGTTTTGACCTTATTTAATTGAAGTTATTATAAATCATAAACTGTAACCATTAAGGAAAAGAGAAACATTATAAGTGAAAAAACCATGGCTAGAAGGTAATATTTATTCCTTTGTGTTTTGACAGCTTGAAGGTCCATGCGTTTTGCAAATTCAAAAAATTCGCAATGTTGCTGCACCAAAGGATAACGAAGAATCTCAGGCTGCACCGAGAATGCTGCGTTTGCAGATGACTGATGGTCATATAAGTTGCACAGCAGTAGAGTATAGTTACTTGTCAAAAATAAGGTGATTGGCACTTTATTTTGTATATTTGTTACAGAGTGTTTGAAGGAGCTATTCACAATGGGTTGTGTTTTAAGAACTTTGAAAAGAACGAATGAACTCTTAAGTGCATGTTACAGTTTTCAGAGGAAATTAAAGAGTTTCTACTTTATCTGTATAGAAGAATAGTTAAGAATGGAGTTAGTTACTCCTTGCTTCAATGTTAATTATAAAAACAAATTTAAGGTGTTCTTGCATGAAAAGTAGTCTTTTCAATTTTGTCAGTAAATTTTAGGTCATTCAAAAATTACCCAGAACAAACTGAATTTCTTTCAATATGTTACAGTTTCTTCCTTGACAGTTAGCTGTGTCCATTGAAAAGTTTATGGGCAAATGAATTTTCTTAGGAAATGATTGAAGCTGCAGAATGTCGTGTGCCACCCCACTTTCTAAGAGGAGGAAGAACTCCATAAGGACAAATTTTCCACTTTCTTCTTTTGGCTATTTTTATGAGAGACTTTCAGAGTCATGCCTATTCTAATGAATAAAAGCAACGAGAAGGAAGAGAAAGTGTCTTCTTTATCCTCAGTGTCCTTGATAGGTTAGTTTGAGCTCTATTTTCTTAGGAATTTTCATTGGACATTTGCAAACTCTTTTGTTTTTCTCTTCTTAGTCATTTGATATGCTTATGTTTGCTGCTTTGGGTCCTTTGAGCTTTTTCATTTAGTGTAAACTCCTAGACCATATTTCTCTAATTTCCTAGCATTTCACAAGTAGTTAGCATCCACTGTGTTCCAGCCCCTTTGTCCAGTGCTGGAGATAGAAAGGTAAGAGGGTTTAGATTTTGCCCTCAAGTAGCTCATGTGCTGATAAGATAGGCACATAGGCAGACAAATTATTATACAAATTTATCAACGGAAAGGATTAGGAGTTCAGAACACTGCATCCACCTGGGAGAGCCAGGAATGCGACTTAAAATATGAGAAGGCGTTTTGAGAGAGATGAGAGGGGGAATGGCACATGCAAAGATGTAGTGTCCTGACAAGACATGAGTGAGCAGTTCCATTTGTAGAGCTTCAGTGATTTGGGATGGTGGTATGTGGGAGCAAATGTGATAGGTTGAGGCCTTGTGTACCATGCTCAATAATTTCCCTTTTTCTTTTCTTCAACCATTGTCTGCCTCTGGTGAGGGAGGCTCCGTCCTTAGAAGATATGATATATGTTCCTGGAAAATGTTAATTTTCATATACAAAGGGGGTTTATTGACTTTTTGATTTTGTTGTCTCCTTTTTGAAAAGTAGGATTCCTACTTTTGTGGACAAACACAGCTTTTTCCCCTTTGACAAATTCAGTCAGACTCCCTACAAGGAAGTTCACAGATGACTCAGAAGAAAGACTTTCATGTAATGGCTCATTCTCAATTTTACTGCTGTATATTTCTCTGAGGCATAAGATCAGCCCAGAGAGGAGGGTCCCTTATGCTGTCCACTGTCATCTTTTGTTGAATTTATTGCAGTTTGACAATTGAAACAAATTATTGCCACTTGCTCATTCATTCATCGTTGCAGTAGCATGTCTACTTTTGGTGCTATAAAAACAACAGCTTACAAAAGTGTTCTTACATGTGAACAACTTGGGAGACTATTTTCAAAATAAGTTTGGTTATTGGTTATCTTAGGTGGAAGGTAGAAGAACTCACTGGAGAGGTTAAACCAGAAGCTGGTGGAGACTGTGTTGCCTCCAGTGGGCATTTCATTTCTCTTGGGTGCTTCCTTCCACTTGACTATCCTACCTCCTGCCCCGTTTCTCACTGGTTTTGTTTTGTTCTTTCAAAACTGCAATGAAGAGAGAGAGTAAAGATACTTTGGGATGCCAATAAAAATAGTAATTAAGCCAAAATATGCTCTCTGAACAAGAGTTAGTTATGGCCTTAAAGGTGATGTAGTAAAAATTGCATTAAAATTTTAGTACCTGTTTATTCTTTTGTAAGAATTAGGTTCAGCAAGGCTATTCGTGACCACTTGTTCTGTAAGTTACATGTGATGACTTAAGAATGATTAGCTGGGGGGTCCTCAGAATAATTTTTGACAGATAAATGTCTTGCTCTGTATGGGATCTTTGAAGCTTTAAAAACAGGCATATTCTATTTTTTCTTGTTAATAACTATTTAATCAACCATCTTTCTTCAGAATAGACCAGTGATATAAATGCTTCCACTGATTTGCTGTTGCATATATCAGCACATGGTAATTTCATGAACTTTTAAGATGTGAACAACGTGAAGCCGTTTCAGTATAATTTTCTAATTTATCCTAAGTGTTTTGGGACAGCCTCTTCCTATTTGGAGTACTTACCTCTTGTTGTATGTGTGAAGAGATGGGGTGGGGCTTGGTATATGGGCTTTTACTTTAGAATAAACCTACATGATAAAATGGATTTCTTCCATTGTTTCCTTTACCAACAGGTTGATAGGAGGATAAACATTTTGTCTTTGGTTATAGTAAAAGGAGTCATGGTGTTTGCCCCAAATCTGATAATATTAATCTATTATAGAAAAATCCTTTTACAGTTAGTATGCTTTAGAGTAAATAACTCTCATTTGATCTTAACAAGATGGTTAACATCAATGAACATTGTTTTGTGTGTAGTACGGTAGCTTATATAGATGTTAAATGTCCAGGATTGTTACTGGTCTGATGTCTTTTCTTGTATTGAAATTTAATTTTATAACATGGTATATCTTTGCAATGCACAGTCAAAGCTCAGAGGGGAAAAAAAGGCAAATCTTATATTTATACAGCATGGCATAGTTGAGAAAGTACTTTTATATCTTTTATTCTATATTTGTCTTTACCACAAATTTGTGAGGTGTGATTTTTATTATCCACATTTTTTTTTTTACATGTGGAAACTGGAGTTAATTTCTTTGTCATTAAAGTAGAAAATGACACTCTTGTACCTGGTCTTCTGACTTCCTCCCTGGTGATCTATTCACACTATATAGCCAGTCTCCTGAAAAATAGTTTTCATGTTAGTGCATTTTAAAGAATTTCATGAGGTCAAAGTATGACACAGAATTCCAGTTTTGGAGGGGAACTTCGGCATGTTTTAATGCTTTTCTTCTTTGCTTTAGCCTGAACACACCGCCTGGAACTAAAGTTAAGCTCTCAGGCATTGTGGACGTAAAAAATGGATTCCTACTGTTGAATGACTCTAACACCACAGTTCTTGGTGGTGAAGTGGAACACCTTATTGAGAAATGGGAGTTACAAAGAGTAAGTGTAAACTAAGAAGATTGGCTTGAACTTTTAAAACACTAAACTATTTTTATTGCGTTCTCTATTTTTAGATCTTCCCATAATGAATAGTAAAATCAATCCTATGTGTCAGAGTTGAATAGAATGGAGCACAGTGATCTTTGCAGAAACTATCTACCTTTGTTTAACCATATCGTTTCTCCAAAGCAGACATCATTTTTCAGTATTTGTTACATTTTATTACTTTGTTTTTGTGTGTGTGTGAGGAAGATTGTCCCTGAGCTAACATCTGTTGCCAATCTTCCTCTTTTTGCTTGAGGAAGTTTGTCACTGAGCTAACATCTGTGCCAGTCCTCCTCTATTTTGTACATGGGACACCTGCCACAGCATGGTGTGCTGACAGTACGTAGGTCCGTGCCTGGGATCCAAACCTGTGAAACCCCTGGGCCGCTGAAGTGGTGTGTGAATTTAACCACTACGCCTATTACATATTTTTAAAAGTTACTCTTTACTGACAGGTTTTCAAAACTGCCAAAATACCAGTTATAAGCTATGTGTAATATATCTGTGTGTCATTCTTTCTGCAAAAAACAAAGTGTTTGTGCATATAAATGAATACAATGTTTGTATATATGTCTCACCTACATATGTACATACATACAAGTGAAAGCAAATTGGCATTTCACTATAATGAAAGGATTCTTGTTGTATTTGTCTTCCTAGTCACATTAGTTGATGTTTCCCCCATTGATGTTAATAATGTCTTCATCCTCCTAGTCATCTAGATTCTTCAGTAATTGTTCTTCTACTTTGCTTCCAGCAACCAATTCTGTTGATCCACTGTAGTCAAATTTCATATCAGTACCTGCTCTTGTTCCATTATTGTTGCCATAATTTAGGTCTTTAGTATCTCGTGCCTGGACTACGGGCAGTAGCATTTCAGCTGGTTTCTCCACATATCCTTTCTCCATATTCTAAGCTATTTTATGTACTTCTGTCAGATTATTTTGCTTCAGCCTAAGTCAGAACACATCATACCCTACTTTTATTTCAAATGCTTTAATTTGGGATACAGGGCTGTTTGTAATCTAGCCCTAGTTCCAGTTTAGTTTTTCAACTTTCTTAATTTTTTTCACATAGGTTTTGTTTTTGCCAAATAGAACTACTGGCTCTTTGATTCTCTGTGATTTCCTTGGTTATACTTTAGGAAAAAAAAAGATTTTCCCACTTTGATACCATTCATTTTGTTTTCTCTCTCCTAATACTTGAATGGCCAAATTGTCCCCAAGCTTTTAGACTCAGATCAAATTCTTGCTTCTTCACAAAGTGAAATAATTGCTCCTTTATTGAATTCTCTCTTTTTTTTTTTTTTGTGGAAGATTAGCCCTGAGCTAACTACTGCCAATCCTCCTCTTTTTGCTGGGGAAGACTGGCCCTGAGCTAACATCCATGCCCGTCTTCCTCTACTTTATACTGAATTCTTAGAAGACTTTATCTGTATTAAGCATATTACTTTTTACCTAGCACTGAAGTTATTTTTATTTATCTCCTTTAAGAAGAGTGTAAGCTTCTTGAGGTGAGAACTCTTGTTTGTGTCATCTTTGTTCAATTCTGTGAATATTTGTTGAACTGTGTGTAGTATTGTGTTGGGCTCTTGCATCTGTTAATCATATAATCCTCCTAGCAGTCTTTTAAGGGAATATGTCCATATAGATCAAAAATGGATTTTAAGAACTGTTAAGTAACTTATTTTTTGAGTAGACAGCTAATAGGTGATGGATCTGAGCCTTCCTGTATCTCCAAAGCGGTAGCTCTGAGTCTTAGGTGTAGTAAACATCCTAACAAATAATTGAGAAATTAATGATGTACAAAGCACATAAAGCTAATTACTCTTTGAGCTAAAACTGATGTTCTGGTGCCACCCTCAAATCTTGTGTTTTGTCTAGAGTGAGCCAGTTGGGCCTAGCAGTATTTCAAGGTTTTGGTATTTTATGATACATTACTCTTTTCTATTTTCTTAGTTGAAATTGCCTGTGTTTGGGAGGTAAATAGATAAGGAGATTTAGGCTCATTTTTTATTCCTTAGTACTATCATTTATTTCTTATGATACTAATGTGCTACATTTTGGGCTGCTGTACTATGCAATATAAGATAATGTTCCGTAACTGCATTGTTTAGTGGAAAATGTTACAAAAGCAAGTACTTCAGAAGCGGTTTGATAGTTTTACATAAATGGCCAAGTTTATGAACTTGGAATTTCTCAGAGAAATCTCACCCATTTCTTGTGATCGTTTCCTTTCACAAGTTGATATATTGTATTTTTATTATCATTAGAGATTTTTTAAAGTTTGGTAAGACGTCCTCAAGTCAGACCAACACCTTACATGATTTTCCAGACCCAGCCAGAACTGTCTCATTAACTGTAAAGTCAGTCTTGCATTCCTGGAAACTTCTTCACCCCCAACACACATACACATTAGTAAGTAGTAGAGATTAGTAGTAGTTTGATAGTTGTTCTTGTAATGTTTTATTATATGTCTTTGCACTTTGTTTCCTGAAAGCCATGTTAGTATTTCTTGTTAGGGGGCAATAAAAATTCACATTAAAAAGAGTTTCAAAACATCATAATATGATTAATAGGTAACTGTACGTAATATGTGTAGTTCTCTTTGGTTTTATAGTTTTTTGATTTGGTAACCATAGCTATGTAGAAATCTAGGAGAGTTCAATTACTTGAGCCTCTAACAGGTGCTACACACAGAGATCAAATGTATACATAGAAATCATAATCTAGAGAGTTAATTTTGGAAATAAGGGAGCCCTAAACATTTTTGTAAAATAAATAGGGGAAGAGAACATTGGGCAGTTTTCAAACCACGTGCAGGTGTTATAGCTGTAGCAAGTCAGTTACAGACAGGTGAAGAAAAAAGAACACCCCAAAATGTTTTGTATGATAAAGTTAGGTTCTAGAGAGTTCTGTACCAGATGTAGTTTGTAAAGTAATGTAGTTCTGTAACATTTTAGTGCCCCCCCATGACAGATCTTTTCTTTCTTTCTTTTTTTTGTTATAGTAAAGCATACATAACATAAAAATTAACATTTTGACCATATTTAATTGTAAACTTCAGTGGCATTAAATACGTTCATATTGTTGCACAAGCATCCATCTCCAGAATTTATCTTCCCAACCTGAAACTTTCTACCCATTAAACAATAACTTCCCATTCCCCGCCTCCTCCCAGTCTCTGGCAACCACCATTCTATTTCCTGTCTTTATGAATTTGGCTACTCTAGGTACCTCATGTAAGTAGAATCGTATAATATTTGTCCTTTCGTGTCTGGCTTATTTCACTTAGCATCATGTCTTCAAGGTTCATCCATTTTGTAGCATCTGTTAGAAATTCCTAACTTTTTAAGGGTGAATAATATTCCATTGTGTGTGTGTGTGTGTGTGTGTGTGTGTGTATTTATATATATATATCACATACTACATTTTGTCATTCATCAACTGATAGACATTAGAGTTGTTTCCATCTTTTGACTATTGTGAATGGTCTATTATGAACACGAACCTCTAAATATCTGTTCAGATTCCTTCTTTCACTCCTTTTGGGTATATACCTGCAAGTAGAAGTGCTGGATTATATGGTAATTCTGTTTAATTTTTTGAGTAACTGCTATATTGTTTTCCACAGTGGCTATACCATTTTACATTCTTGTCAGTCAGCAGTGCACAAGGAATTCAATCTCTCCACATCCCCATCAGCCGTTAGTTATTTTGTTTTTTTGATAATTACCATCCTAGTAGGTGTGAAGTAGAATCTCATTGTGATTTTGATTTGATTTCCCTAATGTTTTGTGATGTTTAGCATCTTTTCATATGCTTATTGGCCATTTGTATATCTTCTTTGGTGAAATGTGTAAGTCCTTTGCCCATTTTTTAATCAGTTTTTTTGTTATATGAGTTCTTGATATAGTCTGGATATCAATTTCATATCAGATATATGATTTGCAAATATTTTTTCACATTCCATGGGTTGCCTTTTCACTCTGTTGATAGTGTCCTTTAATGTACAAAAGTTTTTAATTTTGATGAAGTTCCATTTTATGTTTTTTTCTTTTGTTGCCTGTGCTTTTGGTGTCATAGCCAAGAAATCATTGCCAAATCCAATGTCATGAAAGTTTTCCTCTGTATTTTCTTCTAGAAGTTTTGTGGGTTGAGGTCTTAAATTTAGGTCTTTGATCTATTTTGAGTTAATTTTTGTATATGGTGTAAGTTAAGGGTCCAGCTTCATTCTTTTGCATGTAGATATCCAGTTTTTCCAGCATCCTTTGTTGAAAAGACTCTTCTTTCACAAATGAATGGTCTTATCACCCTCAACAAAAATCATTTGACCATATATGCAAGGGTTTACTTCTGAGTTTTCTCTTCTATTGGTCTATATGTCTGTCTTTATGCCAGTACCACACTGTTTTAATCACTGTAATTTTGTAGTAAGTTTTGTAATCGATTAGCATGAGGCCTTTTTCAGGATTGTTTTCACTCTTCAGGGTCCCTTGAGATTCCATATGAATTTTAGGATGGACTTTTCTATTTCTGCAAAAAAAGTTCTTGGGGTTTTGATAGGGATTGTTTTGAATCTCTAGACCACTATGAGTAGTATTGACATCTTAATAATATTAAATCTTCCAGCCTATGACCATGGGATATCTTTTCATTTATTCATGTCTTCTTTAATTTCTTCTAGCAATCTTTTGTAGTTTTTAGTCAACAGATCGGCTTCTTTACTTAAGTTTATCCCTATGTATTTTGTTCTTTTTTAATTTTTTTTTAAGATTTTATTTTTTTCCTTTTTCTCCCCAAAGCCCCCCAGTACATAGTTGTATATTCTTCGTTGTGGGTCCTTCTAGTTGTGGCATGTGGGATGCTGCCTCAGCGTGGTTTGATGAGCAGTGCCATGTCCGTGCCCAGGATTCGAACCAACGAAACATTGGGCCGCCTGCAGTGGAGCGCGCGAACTTAACCACTCGGCCACTGGGCCAGCCCCTGTATTTTGTTCTTTTTGATGCTATTATAAATGGAAGCTTAGAACTTGTAGTTGTTTTTTGCTCAGCCTAGTTCTCAGCAATGAATTAAGAGAATTCCTATGCAGGTTTCTGGATCTTTTTTTCTGTACAGGTCCCTCTTTTCCGAAACTCTGCCCCACAACTTCTAGTTGCCTCAGCCTGTTTGAATTATGGGATTGATTTTCTCATCTCAGCTCTCTGTCTGCATCATGCCTCCAAGGAAAAGGCAGAGCTCACCTGGTTTTTTTCTCCTTCCCTCAGGGATGATAGTCCTGTGCTACTTATTGTCCTAAATCTTACATGTTGTTTCTTACATGTTGTCCATATTCCCAGTTGTTTGTAGAGGGGTATTGGCTGACTCTTGTACGTGCATCAGGATGGAAAGTGGAAATTCTGTAATGTGTTTTTAATTATATATTGTATGTTGAGCAATGGTATTGATGCGGGGTCGGTGAGCCGAGGAGTCGAAAGAAAGATTTCTTAGACTCTCAAGATCTGGCAGGAGTGCTCTTTTATTTAGAGAATAGTGTGGAATAGCATGGGGACAGGACCCATGGGCAGGCAGAGCTGGTGCGTGGGGACAAGACCTATCGGCAGTCAGAGCTCCTGCTGCTGCCCCGAGTTGAGGGTTAGGGCTAATTTTATAAGGCATGGGTATGTGAGTCATTTCTTTCCAAGATAAAGGAAAGAACATGAAAAAAAAGTTAAAATGGTACCAGTGCTGGTGGGGTCTGGTCATTGGGTGATCCCATGACTTTTAGACAAGAATCAAATCGGATTAAGTAAAGGTTAGAAAGGTTAGAAGCCACCACCCTAAATCAGTTACATGAGATTGCCAGACAGCAACCAACTTAAGTTCTTGCCTCTGGCATTAAGAGTTTCTAGAGATAAGGCCATCCCCCTTCTTCCTGGCACAGAGAGGGAGGCATCTTTACAGATGGAGGTTTCCCTTAGAAATGTAAATCTTTCCCAACAAAGGGACAAGCAAGCAAATTCTGCTCCTTGGAGCCTGCTTCTCATCTGTACTTTTAAAAGTAACCAGCCTAAAAGTCCTCATCATAAACCGTTTTAAAATTAAGCAGCCTAAAAATCCTCATCAGTATTATTGGTAGCTTATGTGAGCTTTTTAAGAAAGTTATACTATAAATAGAAATGATTGATTGCTGGTTAAATAATCTTTTTCTTCTATCTAAATTAAAACTGAGGAAAGCATCCGTAGATAATTTTGTGCATTTGTTTTTTTTTAAACAGGTTAACATCTTAAATACAGCTTGTAAAGAAATGTGGCGTTCATATACAGTTTAAAGGATTCTTTGCTAAATAAACTAAATATTGTTGTCTTTAGTCTTAGTGTTCTTTATATAACTTACAGAAAATATGTAGTATTCTTTACATAATGCAGAAACTAAGTATGTTTGAAAGAGCACATGGTGACTTTTCTAAACTTATTTTTTCACTTACTATTTGACATATTTTAAGCATATCTTCTGAAATAATTATTAAAAATACACAAAAAAGTTTAAAGTTGAAAAGATACGTTAAATGACAGCTAGTGCTTAACATGTATGTTAACATGTCAAAAACAAAACATATAGGAATAGATGACTGAGAGGAGTTGTTCTGAAGATTCTTTATGGCATTTTTGAAGGTCTTTGTAGTGTGAGAAACTGCTTTTAGGGGCCGGCCAGATGACACAGCAGTTAAGTGTGCATGTTCCGCTTTTCGGCGGCCCAGTGTTTGCTGGTTCGGATCCCAGGTGAGGACATGGCACTGCTTTTCAAGCCATGCTGTGGTAGGTGTCCCACATAGAAAGTAGAGGAAGTTGGGCATGGATGTTAGCTCAGAACCAGCTTTCCTCAGTGAAAAGAGGAGGGTTGGCAGCAGTTAGCTCACGGCTAACCTTACTCAAAAAAAACACAAAAAACTGCTTTTGCTAGGAGGATATTTTTTTTCCATTTCCATAATACATTGTTATCTCTCTAATCCTAAATATGAGAATTAGGGAAAAAGAAAACTAAAATTGGTCGAGTTTGGAAGCTTATTTTTATTAAAGAGCAATCGGTTGGTGATTACTTCTTCCAAGTATAAATTGATTTGCAAAACAAGACTTTTATTAAGGAAATTTTACTGTAATTGAAAGTAACCTCCATGTGATAAACTATAACAATCTAATCTCTTTAAATAATTAGAAATCACCTCTATCAGTATTCCTCTGAACTGTTTGTATCACAAGACTTCTGACACCAAATGTGTGGGTTTTCCACACCAAGCAATTCCCCAGTTTCCTGTGGACACCAAATTGACGTCCTAAAGTTTAATTCAATTCTGACACCAACTACCTGGAGTTATCACAGACCCCGCAGGTTAAGGACTCTGTCTCACAAAATTGCTCTCACTTCAGATTCCATTGCAAGTAGTAAGCTCCCAGTTTACCCACACTTCTGTCCAACTTGACTACAAATTAGAGGTTCCCACAACCCTCTGCTCAGGTTCCGTAATTTATTATAAAGGCTCACAGAGCTCAGGGAAACACTTTAACTTACTATTACTGGTTTATTTTAAAGGATATTATAAAAGATACCGATGACTAGCCCAAGGAAGAGGTACATAGGGCAAGATCTGGAAGGGTCCAGAGCAAAGGAGCTTCTGTTCCTGTGGAGTTTTGGTGTGCACCACCCTATTGGAACATGGATGTGCACCAGCAAGGAAGCTCTTTGAACCCCATTGTTTAGGATTTTTATGGAGGTTCCTTAATAGACATGATTGATTAAATCAGTGGCTGTTGGTGATTAGCCCAATTGCCAGCCCTCTAGTCACTTGGTTGGTTCCTCTGGCAACCAGCCCCAATCCTGGAGCTATCTAGGGCTCTGGTAATAGTCACTTCATTAGCATAAACTCAGGTGTGGTCAAGGGAGCTTGTTATGAATAACAAAAGGTGCCCCTCACTCCTCTTTCCAAGGGTTTTAGGAGCTCTGCTCCAGGAACTGGGGACAAAGGTCAAATAGATGTTTTTTATTGTATTGCAATATCACAAGTATGTTGTTTGCTAGTAGATTTTATGTCTAAAAAGTCATTTTGAAGATAATTTCCAGGTAATATTTGTGGGATTATAGTTTTAATATGTTTTAAAGTAAAATTCTTGTTACCGAAGTTTGTTATCTTTTAATTTGCTACTTGTTGAGGAGGTTTTTTACTATGTTTTCTTCTTATGGGAGCAGCTTGGTATATACTTCTGAAAATTGTTGTCACTGTGTGTTTTGGTAAGGAGAGATGAGGGGAGAGCTTTTGCCTAATTATTGCAGTTAGGAATAAAATATTTTATATAGTTCAAAATAATTTATAGAAGACTTTTTTTCCTGTTTCTTGTAAGAGGCTACTAACATAAGTGGATTCCTGGTGCATTGTAAATGTGGTAAAATATATTTTTAATGTCTAATTTCTGTTTTATGACTCTCTTTTCTCACAGAGCTTGTCAAAACACAATAGAAGCAATATTGGAACCGAAGGTGGACCACCTCCTTTTGTGCCTTTTGGACAGGTAATGACTTGCATATTGGCAGATGAATTTCAATCAGCAAAAAATGCTTTTCATTTGTATTCAAACTGTGTTTCGTTTTCTGCTGAACTATTCATTCAGAGATCATGGGAGTTATAAGGAAATGTATTAACTATAGAAATTTATTAATTGTGTGGGTTTTTTTACTGTAATTAAATTGTTAGTGTAGATTCTTTTCTCAAGAGCTGTTAACCCGCAAATTGAAGCAATTAAGAGGTGCACCTGAAAAGCAACTTATAACTAATTACGATAAGATGTTGGAGGGGGCTTTTTTTTTTAGAGAGAAATTCAAAAGTAAAATGACAAAAATATACTGTAATTTCTCATTTCATTCAGTAAAAACAAAAGAGGGAGAGAGAAAAGAGAAGTGTCAACAGAAAGCTGAGTGAAAAAAGTGAGAACACAAGAGGCAGGGAAGGGCATCATTGCACTTACGGAGGACTTGCTGTCCGCACTGTCCCTTCCAAGATTCTGTTCTTCTGCCTTTATCCGAACACCCATTTCAGTTAGGGACTTAATTTTATTTCTGGTTGGAATTTTCCTTTTCAACCATAGCAGTCCTGATTCTTCTCTCACATAAGCTAAAGGGTTTCTGTCTACTTCCTATTTTTCAAGCCCCTTGCTGCAAAATGTTACTTAGAGGTAGCTCCTCGGCTGGCCAATATCTTGCATCTTCCATATTGTGCTCAGCATGAATTGCATTCAGAACAATATCCTCCACCCTCTCCCTGCTTAATCCCTGAAGAGTGTGAGAGTAATCCCTGTGGCAGCTTGCTCTTTGCCACAGGATGCCACCCAAATTTAGCTATCAGTAATCTGCCTTGCATTTGCTCTTTATATTTCTTTGAGAATCCTGGCTCAGAGTGAAGATGAGTTGGGGACACAACAGGTAGAAAACAGAGAACTACATCTCAATAACAATTTTTTTAAAAATTTGGTGTGAAAAATAGATATCTAGTTGATCAGAAGATAAATGGGTAGGATCAGTTGACTGGCATCCTCTTCAAAAACCTTTTTGTAGAATCTATTAAAAATTAAATAAAAATCATTCTTGCATTTTATGGCATTTTGAAAGTATTTTATAAATATGTTGATTTTTATCGTGCTTTGGAACAAGCGACAGTCAAGATAAAAGGAGGCATAATGCCCTGATATGATCTATGTTGATGATATTCTCACTTCTACCAGTGTAATAAAAACCCCCAGAGTGAAAACAGAGTGTAAACATTCTTTATATTTGGAACTAATAAGTGATCTGTTTGTAAGAATTTGTTTTCCCTTTAAACATTTTGATGATAATATTTCTTTCATAAATTGCTCAGACTTATGATTTAATTGTTTTCAAGAATTTGAAGTGTGTTTTATAGCATTTTTTGTATTAGAAAGTATAATAAAAGTTGGAGTTTCAATAATATTATTTGTTTAAGAAGTCCATTCTGAAAAATACTTATTTAGCATATCTTAGCCTTGTACAGTCACATGCCACATAACGACATTTTGGTCAACGATGGACCGTATATACAATGGCAGTCCCATAAGATTAGTACCATATAGTCTAGGTGTGTAGTAGGCTATACCATCTAGGTTTCTGTAAGTACACTTGATGTTTGCACAACGACGAAATTTTCTAATGATGCATTTTTCAGACCCTGTCCCTGTCGTCAAGTGACACATGACTGTATTTGGGTTAAAGACACTTAATGTTGGCTGTGCATTGATATCAACGGGATATATTTATATTGCTGAAAATCTGTATATGTATAATGCATTTGTTGGAGAGCTTCTTTTTTTTATTATTGAATTGCAAAAAGGTTCATTTACATGATTTTTCTGCTAGGATTGGAAGGGAGAACAGAATTGAGGGCTTATTTTTAGGCAATGATGACTTTCTTAATTTATTTTATGAGACTAAAAATAAAAAACTTTGTAGCCTAATTGAGGGAGATGGTATGTTTTTAGCTTTTGGTTTATAAGTTCAGTGTTTAACACAGTTTCTGTGTGTTAAAGTAACTGGAATACTTAACCCTCATATGGATATTCTGGCATAATGTGGGTGGAAATTAGGCTGTTAATAAAAATCTGAATTTACCTCTTCTTGTGCAATAGTTTAGATTGTTTGAAATTATTTTAAGTCATTATCCTAAAATGGAACTTAGATCTCTTGGTTTGAGGTATGTTTTAAATGTGTGCCCTGTTTTAGATGGTCACATTTTTGTGTTGCTTTTCGTTTTATTTACCAGTTACATTGATTTAAAGGTTACTTTATTTAGTTTTCTACCTTTATTTTTAAAATCTATGGGAAAGAATTGTATTTTTATGAGCTTTCAGGTGTTGTAAGTGATACAAACATTTCTTTTGAAGAAGTGTTACTTTTTTATGAAAAACTTGAAACTCTTTTGGAACTACTGAAGGATTTATTTTTATTATTACCAGAAGTGTGTATCTCATGTCCAAGTGGATAGCAGAGAACTTGATCGAAGAAAGACGTTGCAAGTTACAATGCCTGTCAAACCTACAAACGATAATGATGAATTTGAAAAGCAAAGGACTGCTGCTATTGCAGAAGTTGCAAAGAGCAAAGAAGTAAGAAACTAAATCATTATAAATTTCTCTTATTTCTTGTCATTATGTTCTCTTCAGATTAACCATAATCATTATTGTCTTTTCACATAAGGTAACTAATTGAATAGACTTTTAACATTCTTCTTGCATGTTCCACCAGTAGAAAATGCCCTGGTACCTTATGGAGACTTAAGCTTACACATTTTGCTCATATGTTCTTTTTCCAAATCCCCTTGACAATTCCATTAATTTACTCTTGCTAGCAAAGCCCCCTTCTTTTCTCCTCTTCTTTTTCTTCTTAACCAGTGTAACAACTGAACACAACAGTTTTTATTATGGCAGAGGGTTTCCTATTATTAGTTGGACTAGATGACACTTTTTGAGGATAATTTTTCCCCCAAATTAGCAACTTCTGAGGAATGCAGGCAAAAATCAATGGATAAATCAGTGGCTCAGGATTAACATTTTTGTCAATTTTCCTTCTTAAATTTACTTAATGTATAGTAAAAAATAATTTTTTTTTTTTTTTGAGGAAGATTAGGCCTGAGCTAACATCTGCTGCCAATCTTCCTCTTTTTGCTGAGGAAGACTGGCCCTGAGCTAACATCCATGCCCATCTTCCTCTACTTTATATGTGGGATGCCTGCCACTTCCAAGCGGTGTGTAGCTTCACACCTGGGATATGAACTAGTGAACCCTAGGCCGCCAAAGCGGAGCATGTGAACTTAACCACTGCACCACCCGGCTGGCCCTAAGAAATAATTGTTATCTTTGGATTATATATTTGTATTTATATCTACATACACACCCCCCCCATTACTGTTAATTTGTGTTTATATCTACATACACACACCCCCATTACTATTAATAGCCAAATGATTTTATTTATTTTTGATTTCTAACTTATTCTAAATAGGTGTTCTCTCTAGTTATTTATTGATTTTGTTTTTAGACTTTGATAAGAAATTTTAGTTCATGGATTAGTTGCTTAGACAGACTTTTCTTAATTAGTGAGATTGAAATAGTTTCCTTTATCCAAAACCAGTAATGAATCTTAGCTAACACTGCTTTCCTATTTAAATTGAAAGTTTAAGTAGGAGACGTCTTGAATTTTGGTGGCTCTTCCTGCAGTGTGTCTTTCTGTCATCAGTCTAATGTAGGGGCCAAGAGCACAAACTCTGGAATCAAGCAACCTGGAAGCATAGCCTGCTGGTAACCTCGGATAGGTTACTTAAATTTTGTACCTAATTTCCTGTATCTAGGCAAAGAGGATAATAATGGTACCTACTTCATATGGATACAGTGAGAATTAAAATCGATAATCTTTAAAACATTTAGAACACTACATGGTAGAGAAAATGATATTCCTTTGCTAAAAGCTCTCAATAAATGTCACTATTGCTATTCTTTAGTATTTCCTCTATTGTAAGGCACATTTTTAAAAATCATTTTTAATATTTCTGAAATTACTGCATTTTACACAGTTTACATGAAATATATTTTTTCTTTCCCAAAAAGAAAATTAGGAAGTTTCAGAAGAGGATTATGGTCATATATCAATTTATTAATGATTGTAGGAAAGTGGTTCTTTTTCTTAAAGTTTCTCACCTGAGCTAACATTTGTTGCTAATCTTCTTTTTTTCTTCTTATTCTCCCCAAAGCCCTCAGTACATAGTTGTATATTCTAGTTGTGAGTGCCTCTGGTTGCGTTATGTGGGACACCACCTCAGCGTGGCCTGACAAGTGGTGCCAGGTCTGCACCCAGGATCCAAACCAGCAAAAACCTAGGCCACTGAAGCAGAGCACGTGAACTTAACCACTCGGCCATGGGGCCGGCCCCAGAAAGTTGTTCTTTTGATTTATATTTTTCTCAAACAAACTTTCCTCCCCAGATTTTCTTTCTTGTGATAACTGCTATCTATTTACTGGAATATAGTTAACATATTGCAATATGCTTCATTTTTTAAAGTCATAATTGATTACACTGTGTTTTTCTGTAAATATTTGATAAATAAAGAATCAAAATTTTTTGAAGCAGACTTAAAACTTCTCAATTTATATGTGAGAGAGCTGATAGAGACCCCAAACTAAAGTAACTTGCCCAAGGTTACCCAGTAACAATTCTAGGACTAAATGTATGTGTGTGATAGTACAAGATTTGATCTATATCCATATATCTCTCTATATAGATAAGTATGCACACATATTTATATTTAATCTGAATGTCTGAACAGCAAAATCACATAGTGTAGTTTTTCTAAAAAGATGTTTTATGATCATCCATTTAAACACTTATGAGGATTTTGGGGAATCTATTGCAATGACCAAGTGATGATTTTTATTCCTTTTTTTCTTCATTCCTTCATTTAGCAAATATTTTTTGAGAACCTACTATGTATATGTCAGAAAGTGTTTTAAATGCTTAGGTAAAACCAGTGAACAAAATAGGCAAAAGATCCCTGCCCTTATCAAGCTTATATTTTAGTAAGGGTGACAGACTGTAAGCACAATAAATATGTAATGATTTGGTAGGTTAGAAGTTGGTAAGTGCTATGGGAAAAAAGAAAACGTACAGTAGGATGACGACTTGGGGATGCTAGTTGAGGGTGGTTACAATTTAAAATACAATAGTCAGACATTGAGGATTTTTTGAAATTCTTGTGTAATTTACATTCTAGTAAGACAATAAATAATATAAACATACTAAATAAGCAAATTGCAGATTTTTGTGTTAAATATAGTAGTTTGATTAGGCCTCAAGATGGTGAGATTTGAGCCAAGACTTGAAGGAAGTAAGAGAATTAGCTGTGTGGTTAGCTGAGAGGAGTTTTCCAAGGAGAAGGAAAGGCTGTTGGAAAGGCTCTAAAGCAGGAGAATATGTTAAAGGAATAGTAAGGTGACCAGTGGAAGCAGAGACAGCAAAGGAACAAATAGTAGAATATAAAGTCAAGAGCAATAATGGAGGTTAGCTTATGTAGGGCCCCATAAGCCATCTTAAAGACGTTGGCCTTTATTCAGAAAGAAATGAGGAGCCATGGAGGGTTTTCAGCACAGCAATAACATCAACTGGCCTACCTTTTAAAAGTCTAGTTCTGGCTGCTGTGTTCAGAATAGGTTATAGAGAAGGAAGATTGGAATTTGACAAGTTAGGAAATTATTGAAGTAATCCAGGGGGAGGAAAATAATGGTAGCTTGAATGAAGATGTCTAAGTGGTGCAAAGTGGTTGGATTCTGGAATTTTAAAAGTAGAGCCATCAGGGTTTCTGAGAGGTTGAATTTGGAGTGTGAGAGAAGAAGAGTGTAATAAATGACTCCAAGGGTTTTGCCCTGAGAAATTTGACAGGTAGAGTTGTTGACCTTGAATTAGGGAAGACTAGGGTGGAACAGGTTTGAGAGGAGGGAGATCTGATATTCTGTTTTGAACATATTAATGTTGAGGTGCCTATCAGATATCCATGTGGTAATGTTTAATAGGCAGTGAAAGAGAAGAGAATAGGTGAAGGGTGAGCTTTGGAATGGATGTATGCATTTGAGAGTTGTCGGCATTTGGTGATGTTTAAAATCATAAGGTCAAATGAGGTCACCAAAGGGATGAGTGCTGAAGGGAAGAAAAGAGGGTAAGGAATGAACGCTGTAGCATTTCAACCTTATAGATTGAATGAAAGAAGTTGAATTATTTAAAGTGTGACCAGTAAGATAGGATCAAAACCAAAGAATGCAGAAATTGTATCATGGAGGAAGGAGTGTTGAATTTATTAAAGGCTATTGAAAAGTCATGTAAGACGGGGCCTGAGAATTAAGGTAGAGTTGGGAAAGTCATTCATTTCCTCCACATTCCTCTTAACATTAATATAGATAGTGGTGAGGTAAAACACATGGTGCTAAGATAAAGTATAAGTGTGCAGATATCAGTGGGTAGGTTGATGTAGTAAAAGGCTGTGCAAGTTCTTTAATGGTTATTTCAGTTTTTTTAGTAAGGGAATAAATAAGCAAGGTCAACAGATAATGGGGGAGAATATGTTGGAGGTTGGAAAAGTGAGGAGAACACATAAAGTACTGGTCTGGAAGACTGGGAGGATGAATGGCCTAGGGAAATACAGTAAGATTGCTAGGCAGCATTAACGACCCACTTGAGTTTCGTGGTCATGATGATCTCACAGTTGCCTAATTCACATAATGTGGACAAGATGGTATGGCTCATAAAGGACAACATCAATTTCCTTATGAATACTGTTTAAGTTATGACGTTTCTAGATATTTAGTGAGTAACAACTGTTTTAAAGCAGTGAAAAGCAATTCTGAAAATGCTATTTATCCTATTCCTTAATCCATAAAATGGAAAGAAAATAATAAGGAAATGCATCCAGAAGATGGGGCAATTTCACTGGCACCAAAAGAAAAAGCACTTTTGGAGTTAACGGAATTTAAATTCCGGAAATATATTTAATTTGGAACAGGTCAGGCTCCAGACTTTTCAAGTAACTATGTTCTAATATATTAAGCAAAACGGTAATATTGCCATCTGTTATGAGTGTTTACCGTGTGCCAGTTACTGAATTTATCACTTCATCTTGACGATATCATTTAATCCTCACAACATCCTAGTGAGGTAGGTTTTCTCCTCCCTGTTTTAAGGATGAGAAACCTGAGGCTCATGGAAGGTGGATGTTAAGTGACTTGCCTGTGGGTGGGAGCTAGGAAGTGGCTGAGCCAATATTTAGTCCCAGCCTTGTCTAGCTCCAAAGTCTATGTTCTTAACTATACTACACTGTCTCCCAGTCTAATAAACTTTATCTTCACATTAATATAAACTCAGATTTTTCTTTATGGTTATACAAGTAACGACTATCAAGACACTCCCAATCTATTTTTTGTTGGGATTACATAAACCGAAAAATGAATGAGTCCAGTAATGAATCTTTGGTCTTTGAAGATGTATTTTTAATTTTGATTTGAATTAAATTTAAATATTGTGGTGTGTCAACTACTTAATAAAGATATTTAATATGTTGTCCATTAATGCTTATCTCACATCATTATTCTATTTTTCAGTTTCTATTTCTTTGTATTTTCATCTGATTCAAAATAATTTCCCAATGTTATGTAAATTTATATCTAGGATGTTATTTTAGTATGATCATTTTAAAACACATTTAAAAATATTGACCATTATCTCTAATAAAAATCAAGTTTTGACTTCTCCCTTTTTTATTAGATCTGTTAGAACTATAAAGATATTTTATAATCAGATGTTTAATTTGATGTTGTTCACGTAACAACTGTGGGATGCTTTTCAGTTATGAATTTGTATCTTTCCAAACCAATGTTCTTTATGTATCTAGTCTTTTCACAATAGTTTTGATAAAGCTAAAATGAGATCAAATCCAATTTTAAAATTTGATTACATAGATAATTATTCAAATAAGTCAGGTGGAAGAAGAAATATGGACTTCAAAGCTTTTATACTAGTTGGTAAGACATAGCATATTATGTAATTAATGTAAATAAATTAGTAATGACAGCTTTAATACAGTGTTAAAATTTACATTATTTGTTTACTTTCTAAGATTATAGGATCATATTACTGGGTTATGGACGTAATGTAACTGATTCCTAGACAGGTTTAGTGCCTCACTAAAGATAGCCTTGCCATGGAACTAGATTTGTAACCCAAGTCTCATGATGTCAGTCAAGTATTTTACTCTAGAATCATTTTTGACACCTAATCTCCATAATGCTTCTGTTATTTTATTTTCTTCTATATTGTTTGTCTACCTAAGTTTATTCTGATGATTTGCCTTGGACACTTAAACATTATAATCATGTAATTTTTTTTATTGCCTCTCCTGGACTTGTGGGAAGAAGAGATTATGGCTTATAGATACTTGTTTAAAAAGAATTAGTTAACATTTTATTTTTTTCCTGTAAAACATAATTAAGAAACTTTTAACTACTTTACTTTTGCTAGATATTTTTAGTCATAGCATAGTTTTTGAGCTATTTTAAAATGCTATTTATTTACATCTCTTTTTATCTTTCTCTTATTTAAAGACCAAGACATTTGGAGGAGGTGGTGGTGGTGCTAGAAGTAATCTCAACATGAATACTGCTGGTAACCGAAATAGGGAAATTTTACAGAAAGAAAAGTCAACCAAATCAGAGGGGAAACCTGAAGGTGTCTATAGAGAACTGGTAAGGCTAAAGAACGAAGCACAAAGTTAATGTGTACTTCTTTTAATAGCCTGGATAATTTTTTTATTCTTTCTCACAACCAGCACTGGCTTTGTTCAGCATATTATGGATATATGTTGCAACTCTAAGAAGGCTTTCATTAAGGATTGTAATTAACTCATGGAAAATTGTATTGTTTGAAAAATAATTTACTTAAAACTTCCATTTTACTTAAATTTTTAGTCTCTGAATAATGTCTTTGAGAATCAAGTGATAAAAAGCCATCAGATTAAATAGAAAACACTCAATGCTCAATGGAAATTGCATTCTAAAAGATGACGCATCACAAACATACAGTTATCTGCTGTTCCCTACCTTTTCCAACATCTTTTCTCAAATTTTATCTAAAATGGTTTTGTTTTGTTTTGCTCTCTGGGGAAAATATATTGAAATAAGTGCATGTATATTATGGACTCAATTGTAAAATATACATGGATTTTTAAGATAAATGGGAAGAGTCAAAGATATTCCTGGTGTGTTGCAGTGTTCTCAGATACAAGGAAACTGACAAGAATTCATTTTCCCTGCCTTTAGAGGTTGAATTACTTTGGGTGATTTTGTTCACAGGGTACAGAATACTAAGATTAGCTTAAATAATGGAGGTTTATTTAGAGGTAATGGTTACAAAGGTTGATAAATTCAGCAGTATAACAATGTTAGAGCTCTGGTGGGCATCTCTGTGATTTCTTGACTTTCTTCTCTGGGCTACAGGGTTTTCCACATGTTAAATCTTCCTGCAAAAAGCTCAAAGGCAGGAAGAAAAGAGAGCATTTCTCTGGGTGTGGGCCTCTTTTATCAGATAAGAAAATATTTCCTGAAATCTCCAGCAGATTCCATTTATGTCTCATTGACTAGAACTAGGTCACATGCCCACTGCTAAATCTCTTCCTTGAACATATGATCATCTTATTCTTAAAAAAAAAAGTCAGAATTTTCAGGTTGTAGTGGATGCAGTGAGCTGAAAAAGACGTGCTCCCAAACTCAAGATACTCTTACACTTGTGTAAATTGAGAATACTTCCCTGGGGATGTCTTGCCTTAGCACACCAGAGACCAGCAGTTTGGGATTGTTGCAAGGATTAAAAATATATGAAAGGAGTGATATCAAAAAGATGGCAGAATAGAAAGTCCCAGGAATTGGCCCCTCCACTGAAACAACTGTTAAAATGACAAGCACTGTCTGAAGCAACTATTTTGAAATTCTGGAGCCTAGTGAAACTCTTGCATCGTACAGAATAGTGATTGATGAAGAAAGAGGCTGGTCACTGGCTGACTACAGAGGTAATGGAACAGAGATTTCAGTGATCACGTACCACAAGGGATATAATCCTTGCAAAGAAAGTCTGGAAAGGTCACTAAAGAAACTTACAACTACAGTCTTCATCAAGTAACAACAGCAGTCCCAGAGGAGAAGGGAGAATCTGATTTCCAAAATTACCACCATTACAGTATTCAGAATTTCCAGTTCTCAACAGAAAATTAGAATGCGTACCAAAAAATAGCAAAATATGACCCATTCATAGGAAAAAAAAGAAATTGACAGAAATCATCCCTGAGGAAGCTGAGGCATTGGACTTACTAAACAAAGACTTTAAATTAACTGTCCTAAATATGCTCTAAGATCTGAAGGGAACCATTGATGAAGAGCTAAAAGAAATTGGGGGAACAATATATGAACAAGTAGGGAATGTAAATAGAAAAATAGAAATTATAAAAAAGAAACCAAATAGAATTTCCAGAGCTTAAAAGTATGGTAACTGAGGGCCGGCCCGGTGGCACAGCGGTTGGGTGCGCACATTCCATTTCAGCAGCCTGGGGTTCCCTAGTTCGGATCCCGGGTGTGGACATGGCACTGCTTGGCAAGCCAGTCTGTGGCAGACATCCCACATATAAAGTAGTGGAAGATGGCACAGATGTGAGCTCAGGGCCAGTCTTCCTCAGCAAAAAGAGGAAGATTGGCGGCAGATGTTAGCTCAGGGCTAATCTTCCTCAAAAAAAAAAATAACGATAGCTGAAATAAAAAATTTCATTAGTCAGGTTCAACATCACATTGGAGGAGGCAAGAGAAAGAGTCAGTGAACTTTAATATAGGACAACTGAAGTTACCCAATCTAAGATGCAGAAAGAGAAACGAATGAAGAAAAATAGAGCCTTAGGAACGTATAGAGTACCATCAAACATACCAACGTACACGTTATGGTAGTCCCAGTAGGAGAAGAGAGAAAGGGACAGAAAAAGTGTTTGAAGAAATAATTGCCCCAATTCCCCAAATTTGGTGAAATCATAAATCTACAAATCCAAGAAGCTCAATGAACCCCAATAGGATAAACTCAAAGAGAGACGTACCAAGACACGTTATAACCAAGTTGCTGAAAGCTAAAGACAGAGAAATCTTGAAAGCAGTGAGAGAGAAGCAATTCATCAAGTATAAGGGATCCTCAATAAGGTGAATAGCCAATTTTTCATCAGAAACTATGGAGGCAAGAAAGCAGTGGGATGATATATTGAAAGTACTAAAAGAAAAAAACTGTTAACCAAGAATTCTATATCCAGAAAAACTTATTCAGAAATGAGGGAGACCATCAAAAGAACAATTTGAAATGCTGGTGTAAGTTTGAATGTACGTGAATTTTTCTAATGACTAGGTACCAAATTCTTTTGCATGTTGGATGGTTTTCAGTTCTTTATTTTCAACAGTTGAAGGAAGACTTGATTGGGATGTCAGCTGATAGGTCCTTAAAATAATTTTTGATAAGAGATGGTATTTTATATTGAATTGTGTGTTGCCCCCTGCCCAAGGTATGTTGACGTTCTAACCACCAGTGCTTTAAAATGTGACTGTATGTGGATAGAGGGTCTCTATAGAAGTATCAAGTTTAAAAGAAGTCATTAGGGTGAGCCCTAATCCAGTACAATCCTAATCTAATCTTCTTATAAAGAGGGGAACTTTGGATACAGAGACAAACACATAAAGAGAGAAGATGACCTGAAGATACACGGTGAGAAGATGGCCATGTGTCTGCAGTTATGCATCTACAAGCCAAGGAATGCCACGGATTGCCAACAAAAAATAGAAGCTAGCAGAGGCAAGGCAGATTCTCCCCTCAAGCTGTCAGAGAGAGCATGGCCCTGCCAACGCCTTGATTGAGAGGTTTCGTTAACTGCAGATCAGGCCAACAGGACAGGTAGAATAAGTTATGCAAAGATTGAGTATTAGTTGATTAGTAATGGTGTTTTTGGTCAAGTTCTATGTATGGAACAATATTCTTAATTAGATATTTATTTAGGAGATAATTGGGGAAGGGAGAGGTTTTAGAAGGTTTATTTTTTATATTCAGATAAGTTTTTGAATAAGAAGGATGAATTATAGCTTTGACATCCAGTCTTTTTTCCATTTACTTTAGCGTATCTACAGTAGGGATGTAAATTTTCTCTTACTTGTCAATTCTGATCTAAACACATTAGCTACTGTGGTTAGAAAGGCTTCTGTGTTTGGAAGGATACAATCGGAATTTAGCAAAAAGTGCTGTGCTTTTATCAACGACTCCACAGGTATCGGAGTGGCTGTCTGCAAGATGCATGCCATGTGTATACAAGCCTATCCATCTTAACTCTTAGATGTACAAAAGTTCATAAAGTCTTCCTCAGCTGCCTATGATTCAAGAAATTTCTTCATGAAATATGTTTATGTTACTGAAACAGTTCTTGAATTCTTCTCAGGTCTAAATTTTTCAAGGAGATTTTGGGTCCTGGGATTTGTAAAATAGATTTTCCTATTCGGGGTACAGGCTGTCAAAGCATCATAGATAGTATTGCTCATGAATATAGAGCAGAATACTGAAACAATAGAGAATAGGAAAAAAAAAAGCTACTCAGAAGATACCATTTTGTTAGCTTCATTTTATACTTTCCACTTTTGGAGAGGTGCTGTATAAATTACATTTCCTTTCTAGAATAGGTAACTATCAATCATGAAAAATTTTAATTAAGTAGTTTTCAATGTCTATATTATCTTCAAAAGTCTTATTCTAACATATTATAAAATTTCCTTTGTTTTGCATTTGGTACTTGTGAAGTAGAGAGTATTCAGGGCATCCCCTCATGTATTGTATGAATTCTTCCTTGACTATCGGTATGAAAAAACAGCAAGTGAAATGTTAATATGACATTTTTTCCATAGGTGTGAGATCTAATTTTTAGTTAAAAAACAGTATATAGTTGAAAACTTATGCCTTGTTTTCTTTATTGGCCATCAGCATAGTTTTTCTATTCATTCCTTACAGGTTGATGAGAAGGCTCTGAAGCACATAACAGAAATGGGCTTTAGTAAGGAAGCATCAAGGCAAGCTCTTATGGATAATGGCAACAACTTAGAAGCAGCACTGAATGTACTTCTTAACAGCAATAAACAGAAACCTGTTACGGGTCCACCTCTGAGAGGTATAATTCATTAAACATTGTGCCAGATGGTATTGAGTATATGTTGTCGACAGAGGCTGGGTCTTGTTGCTCTGAGGGCTGTCACTTCATTTACCATTATGGTGAGTGGAAGGAGCACCAGTTTTGAACCACAGAGACTTGTGCAGGTCACTCTAGGTCTCATTGTCTTCATCTTTATATAAAATGGGTCTAATAATAACTTATTTAGCAGGATTGCTGTAATATAAAATAAAGTCACTGGTTCTATTAATTCTTTCTGGAACTGTGCCACTTGTATAAATGACTAAATAGTCTGCAAAGTTTTTTAAATTGACAAGAACATGACTTTTATTTAGTGTTATTCTTTAATCGTTGCATTGTCAAATTATTATGTGATTTTTCAAGTCCTGATCCTATATTCTTTTAAAAAATAAGTTAAAGAAAAATTTTATAAGGATGATTTTTTTCCTTCAAAGATAATTTACATGAATAAATTCAAATTTCTGGATAGGTCATTTAGAGAATTAAAGGTTATGGTTAATATAATCATTTAAAAACTTTATTATAAAAGATGTAGAATATACAGAAAAATATGAAGAGAAATATATACCAAATCCTACTTAAGGTGTCTGCTGATTGTTTTAGTGTACTTTCTCCTTTTTTTTTTTTTTGCATGTATAATGTACATGTCTTGCTTTCTTTCTTAAGGTAAAGGAAAAGGCAGGGGGAGAATAAGATCTGAAGATGAAGAGGAACTGGGAAGTGCAAGGCCATCAGCACCAAGTACATTATTTGATTTCTTGGAGTCTAAAATGGGGACTTTGAGTGTGGAAGGTAGGCTAACTTAAAGTAGATTTCTTTTTAAAAGACTAAACTTTATTTGGAATTATACAAAAAATATTAAATAAAGCAACTGACAATATGAACATCTATTGTGTGTTCATAAATTTATTTAATTACAAATTTACTGTTTGACAAAAGCACAGAAGAAAATTTCAATTGTTACATTCTGAAGATACTAAAAGACAGTTTATTTTGCCCTGTAACTGTGTAATGGGTAATATCACCAAATTCTTTCTCCCAACTTGAGATGACAGATTTGGCTATGAAAACAGATTGTTATGTTGGAAAACTTATTATTATAACATCTTATAACAACTTATTTTGATTGTGAAATTGGTCTGTCCTGTCTTTTTCTATACATTACATATTGTATGAAAATACTCACACAATGAGTGAATATGCTCCCACAATATGATGTATTTCTTAATATGATATATTTTAGTGATTAACGTAAATACTGAAAAGAGAAGTATGTTAAATGTGTATTTTTTTTTCTTAAGCATGGAATATGGTAAATATTTTCTAAAATAATAAGTCTTTAAAATATGATTGCAAAAAGTTAGGGGACTACGCTTTGTTTTTTTTAAAGATTGGCACCTGAGCTAACATCTATTGCGAAACTTCTTTTTTTTTCTTCTTCTCCCCAAAGCCCCCCAGTACACAGTTGTATATTCTAATTGTAGGTCCTTCTGGTTGTGCTATCTGGGACACTGCTTCAGCATGGCCTGACGAGTGGTGCCATGTCCATGCCCAGTATCCGAACTGGAGAAACCCTGGGCCGCTGAAGCGGAGCACATGAACTTAAGTACTTGACCACAGGGCCAGCCCTGGGAAATACTCTTTTAAATTCAGTTTTCTCTTTCTAATATTTTTTTAATCAAACCAAAGCTCAGAGATAAAGTGCTTTTTATAACATTTGAAGTATCCCAATTTCGTGAAAATGGAAGCTTATCTGCTAGATTTTATAGAAAAGGCAGTGTATTCTTTGAAAAAACAAATGTTTGATGTGGATGAGATTTGTAAGCAGACACATGTAAGAGCAATATTTTCTTGGTTATAAAGCATGGTTCTATTGCTGTTTAACAAATTACTGCAAAGTCAGTGGCTTAAAACAATGCAAATATATTGTCTCATAGTTTCTGTGGTTTAGGAATCTAGGCACAGCTTAGTTGGAATCTCTGATCAAAGTCTCACATACGGAAATCAAGATTTCAGCTGGGTTTGTGGTCTTATCTGAGGCTCAAGGACCTCTTAACAAGCTCATGGTTGTTAGCAAAATTCAGTTCCTTGTGGATGTAGGACTGAAGTTCCCCTTTTCTTGCTTCATGTTGTCTGAGGAGTGCTTTCAGCTCCTAGAGGCCCTCAGGTCATTGTCACATGACCCTCTCCATAGGTAGTGCACAGCATGTTTGTTCACTTGGGCAAGGCCAGCCAGAGAATCTCTATTGCTGCTTCAAATGTCTCCGACTTCTGGATATTTTTGTCTCAAACCCCCTCTATACTATCCCAATCAGAGTCCTTTGATTTCCTTTCATTCTTCTGTCTCCCTACATTTGATTTTGATTCTTAAAGTGTCTCCTAAATCATAATGAGATTGAGAATGGTAATTCTACTGTGACCTGTGTGGCTATAGTGTTTCACTTCTTATAGAATGCATTCTATACCAACGAAACAAAATAATATTCGCGTTCCACCTGGGAAAAGGTGTCAAAGTTAATTGAGATACATGACATGAACAATATACTCAAAACTGAGCATCAGTATTAGAGAGATTTACTTGTGAGGGGACAGATATTTATGAACACATCTGTTAATATTGGATGTTGTTTTAGTAGAATGTGTTATATTTACATTACTGTTGTTAATATGCAGCGGAGTCCATAGTATCTGACAAAAATATAAGCATTGTAATAGTATTCCAGACTCTTGATTTTCACAAAGAATATAACCTATGACCTTCATAAATTCCCAAATTCAAGAAACTAGATATTTCTAATCTTTATACAGGCTCTTAAATTTTATCCAAATTCACACGTTCTTGTGATCGTCCTGACACCAGAAATTATCCCCTCCAAATTACATTAGCGTTTTCTGCTTACTTGATGACCATTATTCTCAGAGAAGCAAATTTTTTTCTTTCCTAAAAGTACTGTGTGGGAAGGCCAGCTAACCAAGATGGGAGATGGGTAGAAGGCTTCTTAGAGGAGGTGGCATTCAGACAGTCCAAGGGGAAGGGCAGTCCAAGTAGAGGGAGCTTTGGGTATCTAGGCTTGCAGACAGCAGAACACCAGTTCCCTGTGCCTGGGAGGGTATGGGAGAGATAGAGATAGAAGGCCAGAGATAGAAGTGGTAGGCTGCAGCTGCATACAAGGGCAGTTTGTCCCAAGGAGTTTTTATTTTATCCAGACGGCAGTGTAAAGCCGTGAAAGGGTTTTTTGGCATGAGAGCAATGAAGTTTGATGCTTTCAAAAAAAAGTTTCTGTCAGCAAGGTGGAAAATGAGGTTGAGACTAAAGTGAGACTACAATTAGATGTATCATGAGGAATTATTCTTTCTATAAATGCAAAATTTATGTAGTATTTATTTGTACCAGGTCTTTGATAGGTGGTGGGGATACAAAATAGAATACCTCATTCAAAATGTTCAAGGAAATAAATGGATTTTGGAGCTCTTGCCCCAAAGAAGCTTACTGTCTACTTTGTAAGACAAAAGAAATCACAAACTAAAAGGGCATAGGAATCCTTATTAAAAAGAATGTTATCATTTAGTTAGTGTAAACCTTTTATAATTCTTTATCATTTACTTAGTGTAGACAACACTGAACAAAATATATAGGCTTAGCAAAAGCAATTTTGAATAAAGTAATCAGACATTATATAGACTATAATCTATAATAATAGTTAATCCTTTATTTCAAAGTTTTATTCCCAAAAAAGACCAGTTAGTTGGTTTCATTTTTTTTATTGAAGTCGTAATAGTTTATCACGTTGTGAAATTTCAGTTGTACATTATTATTTGTCTGTCATATATATGTGCTCTTTTACCCCTTATGCCAAGCCCCCAAACACCTTCTCCTCTGGTAAACACTAGTCTGTTCTTTTTGTCCGTCTGTTTATCTTCCACTTATGAGTGAAATCATATGGTGTTTGTCTTTCTCTGTCTAGCTTATTTCACTTAACATAGTACCCTCAAGGTACATCCATGTAGTTACAAATGGGATGATTTTGTCTTTTTTTATGGCTGAGCAGTATTCCATTGTATATATATACCACATATTTATCCATTCATCCATTTTTGAGCACTTGGGTTGCTTCCACGTCTTGGCTATTATGAATAATGCTGCAGTGAACATAGGGGTGCATAAGTCTCTTTGGATGTTGATTTCAAGTTCTTTGGATAAATACCCAGTAGTGGGATAGTTGGGGCGTATGCTATTTCTCTTTTTAATTTTTTGAGAAATCTCTATACTATTTTCCATAGTGGCTGTACCAGTTTGCATTCCCACCATCAGTGTATGAGGGTTCCCTTTTCTCCACATCCTCTCCAACATTTTTTATTTTTTGTCTTATTAATTATAGCCATTCTGATGGATGTTAGGTGGTATCTCAGTGTAGGTTTTATTTTCATTTCCCTGCTGATTAGTGATGTTGAATATCTTTTCATGTGCCTGTTGGGCATCTGTGTATCTTCTTTGGAAAAATGTCTGTTCAGATCCTCTGCCCATTTTTGATCGGGTTGTTTGTTTTTTTGTTGTTGAATTATATGAGTTCTTTATATATTTTGGAGATTAACCCCTTGTCGTATATGTGATTTGTGAATATTTTCTCCAGTTGATGGGTTGTCTTTTCATTTTGTTCCTAGTTTCCTTTGCCTTGCAGAAGATCTTTAGTCTGATAAAGTCCCGTTTGTTTATTTCTTCTGTTTCCCTTGTGTGAGAAGACATGGTATTTGAAAAGATCCTTTTATGTTCCATGTCAAAGAGTGTACTGCCTATATTTCCTTCTAGGAGTTTTATGGTTTCACATCTTACCTGCAAGTCTTTAATCCATTTTAAGTTAATTTTTGTGTATGGTGAAAGATAACGGTCTACTTTCATTCTTTTGCATGTGGCTGTCCAGTTTTCCCAACACCATTTATTTAAGAGACTTTCTTTTGTCTATTGTATGTTCTTAGCTCCTTTGTCGAAGATTAGCTACCCATAGATGTGTGGGTGTTTTTTTTTTTTACATCTCCCTTTTTTTTAATTTGAATTTGTAATAGTTTACATCATTGTGAAATTTCAGTTGTACATTACTTCTTGTCTGTCACCACAGAAAGTGCTCCCCTTCACCCCCTGTGCCCACCCCCCGCCCCCCTCCCCTGGTAACCACTGAACTGTTTTCTTTGTCCATGTATTTGTTTATATTCCACATATGAGAAATCACCTGGTGTTTGTCTTTCTCAGTCTGGCTTATTTCGTTTAGCGTAATTCCCTCCAGGTCCTTCCATTTGTTGTTGCAAATGGGATAATTTTGTCTTTTTTTATGGCTGAGCAATATTCCATTGTATATATATGCCACATCTTCTTTATCCAATCATTAGTTGATGGGCACTTGGACTGTTTCCCTGTCTTGGCTATTGTGAACAGTGCTGTAATGAACATAAGGGTACATATTGTTACTTTGGATTGTGGATTTCAAGTTGTTTGGGTAGATAGGCAGTAGTGGGATAGCTGGATCATATGGTAGTTCTATTTTTAATTTTTTGAGGAGTCTCCATACTGTTTTCCATAGTGGCTGCTCCAGTTTGCACTCCCACCAGCAGTGTATGAGGGTTCCCTTCTCTCCACACCCTCTCCAACAATCATGTTTAGTCTTAATGATTATAGCTATTTTAACAGGCATAAGATGGTATCTTAGTGTAGTTTTGATTTGCATTTCCCTGATGATTAGTGATGTTGAACATCTTTTCATGTGTTTATTGGCCGTCTGTATATCTTCTTTGGAAAAATG